ACTGTTTAGATATTTCTGATTGCCCTGCATGATATCGATATGAAAACCTCCATCTGACAAGGCTATTCAAGAGCAGAATGTGAGTTTCAGTATTATATCTCTAAGGAGTTGCCTCACTTGATGATTTAATTTTCATAGCATTGAGTTTGTTAATAACAGATGATATAACCATTACGTGTTCTCTTCATCCAGCATTCACTGCCATGTAGAAGGATTGATATTACACAGCAGTTTAACACTAACTTCTGTGTATCCAATGAAAGCCAGTAAAGAGTTTTCCAAGTGAGAAGTGTGAGAAAATAATTATAAGTATAGAAATTATGGTTGCATCTTGTCAATTCAACTGTGAATTGATGAGACCTTTTTGCCAATCTTGTACTGCACTTAAATTCAAAATGTCTAGGTACCATAGTGAAGAGCTCATCCAAACAATGACCATGAATGTATTTAAAGAAAAGCCACAGGAAAAGCTACATTATAGCAGTGGAAAAGTGACTGAAGCGGAGATGCCAGATCAGGACCAATAACACTGCAAATATTATCAAGAGTCTCTAAATATATAGCATAGGCACCAGATAATTTTAATTTGTCTGTTTGTTTTAAGTGACAGAAATCATGAACAGAGAAGCAAAGAAAGATAGAACACATTCCTGTTCATCAATGCATATATTTTCTCGGCACTACTTAAATAGATTAGTCCACTTGTAAAAAAATAGGGAAACATTCTTTTGGAAATAATTTTGTAGATTGGCATTCTTTCAACCTTACTTAGTCTACAACATTTATTAGAATTGTAAACTATTTATTAATTAACAATTTAAAATGGGGTCCTGTTTATAACAGGATTACAGTGTAAAATTTACCCCTGACTTTTACAGAGTTATGAGAATTTTTCTTTACAAATGCCACATTTTAATTCTGCTTACATCACTAATATATACTTCTACTAATCTATATAATTTGAAAATTCCTACACTGCCTTAATATCAACAATTGTTCCAGATAGTTTTAGTACTTTTGGGAAAAATTTGTTTAATAAAAAAAAAGACAATATGCATAAAGGAAAACAGACGATAGAAAAACTGTAGTTTTAGCCAACATGTTTCGTCCAATGAAGACTTTTTCATGGCAAAAACGAATGATTTACTGAAATAAAGTATCTATAAACAACAAACAAAATGTCGTTAGCAACTAAAAGAATTTAGAAATGCTATTTTATATTCATATGGTCAACTGAATAATTACGTCAATTATTTTATGTTTGAAGAGAATATTTTCACATGTAGAAATATTGTTTGTATTGTTGTGTTGACGGATTCAGCCAATTTCTTTTGATTTATTGATATATTTATTGTGTACATTGGCTTGGGAGAGTAGTGATTCTGTTAGGAAAGGTGATATTGGGAAAAAACCTGGGCATAGATTAATATTTAGATAACATTCAATGCTGGCACTCTCAAGGATTTTCCTTCTGAGTGAATTATTTTTTTTTTATTTTTTTTTTTTTTAGGAGTGTCACATTTATAAAATCAAAATAAATTCAACCACAATTTTGATCATTTCAATTGTCCTCACCTTTATTTCCATATTCACAATGTTCTGGCTATGATATATATTGAAATTCTGAACCAAACCCTTTTAGTCCATGTGCCTTTATTGAATATCTCAGTATCAGTTATTTCCCTTTAGTAACAACTCTCCAAGATTTTGTTCACCTCCACTGTGGCCAAGTATTGAACTTACAACTTTTTGAGTCAAGTCACTTTTTGCATTACTCAATCAATAGTTTTATCCACTGGGCAATGGAAGTTGGAGCATACAACAGCTGAAACATCATGAATATGACAATAAAGATGAGGACAACAGTCCGAATAATGTAAATATTTTCATGGCAAGTGTTCTGATGAACTTTCATCCTTGGTACCTTGACTGCATGAATTTAAGCGTATCCAGGGATCTCACAATTGAACTAGCTAGACGCAACCGTCAGTTCTATTCTTACAGTTTCTTTTCTCGCCTGTGGAACTGCATTTTGATTTCTTACTTCTCAATGACCTACAATCTTCAAAGATTTAAATGCCAATTGCCATCTTCTGTCTTCCTGAATCCTGTTCTTTTAGTGTCCTTTCTCCTCACTAAAGTCTTTTCATTCTCTTTTATTCCCAGTAACCCCGAGTGACATTATCACCTTTCTTAGGGTGAAATTATTAAAAAAAACAAAAAACAAACACATCTTGAAAGTCAGGATTGATTTTACCCTCTTATTGCTATTATGAAGAGGTCACTTCCAAATTGGTAATTGATCAATATACTTTGATTCTGACAAGTGTTGCAGATGAAGAAAATGCTGAAGAATGCTAATCTAAAAAAGTTATTTCAAAAAAATGTTTCCCTATTTTTTATTAGTGGACCACTTTATTTAAGTAGTACCATTTCTTTATAAAGGGGTATTGAAAAGTTCTTGGTCTAAGCCATAATACATTTTTTTTTGTAAGTGCTTCTTGGTCAAGCCAAGAACTTCATAGCTCTCCTCATATTTTGTTGCTTTTTATCAAGTTTTGTTTAGCTTAATCATTTTTTTTATCATTAAACTGTGGGAATTCGGTCTAAACAGTAAATTACTATTAGACTCAAACTCACATCCTATATCTTAGCACAGTGATTCTCAACTGCCATACCATAGCACACTAGTAAGTGTGTCACAAAATATTATCATGGTATACATATAGATTTCAATACAAATGGAATATCTCACATTATCTAAAAAGGCTTTATCAGTTTATTGCAGTCTTCTATTTCTTATTTATGTGAATAGGCTTCTCAACCATAAATAACATCAAAATTAAGAAGTGAGAAAGACTTCACTCAACTGAAGAAGAAATGTGAGTCTGCTTATCAAACATTCAACCAAATATTGAAGAAATCATAAAAAAAAACAAAAAAAACACCAGACACAGGTTTCACACTAAATAAGTTTCCCAAATAGTTAAACAGAAACATAGAAATAAAGTTCATATTTGTGTGCATATTTTTTAAAATCTATTTTATTTCATAACATTTGAATGCATACCCTTTAAAGATTTTGCTATGTGTGCTGTGATATTTTCATTTGCTCCGAGGTGTAACATTGCTTAAAATGGTTAAGAAACACTGCCTTAACAGACAATGCACAGGATTCACATCTTGCAAAGGGAATGCTTTAAACTTGAGATTATTTTAACAGATTATTCTTCTTTTATGTGTCGTCTCCCTTCAGGACGTTGGTGATCACTGCTCTCCACAATTTCTTGTCCTTTCTAGCTCTTAGTAAATGTTGTCTTTTGCTGTCTTAAACTCTGTCCTGCAAACCATTCACACAAGTTTGTTAGGTAGGTTATGCACCGTTTTCCTGTTCTTCTTGCTTTCAATCTGTCCTGTGTGAATCAGATTTTCCAATCCCTCCTTCCTCATTATGTGCCCTAGGAATTTTAGCTGCCTCTTCCTGATGTTAAGTATAATTTTTCTTTTTGTTTCCCGTGTCTCTAAAACTTTGCTGTTGCTCACATGTTTGGTACATGGTGTCCTCAGCATCATTCTGTAATACCACATTCCTGTTTCTTCATCTGTGAGAAGATTGTTCAGCATTCAATGCCATATAGGAGGACCGACATTACGTAACAGTTCAATACTCTTTTCTTTGTTTCTAACAAAATTTTTCTGTTTCTTAATACTTTGCTTAGCTTTTGGAAGGCATCTTTGGCTATCCCAATGTGGCTATGGATTTCAGTGTTGCACTTTCCGTCCTCTGTTAAAACACTTCCCATATTGGATTCATAAATGTACAAAAAAAGTAACCAATAATTTAATGGGTCATACATGCTTTTTCTCCCTAATGAAAAAGATATTGCAAATAGTTAATTTCTACAGATTAAATTCAATGATTCATTCACCTTGTTTATAAAAGATATATGAGCTATTTATAAAAACAGACATCAGTTAGTTTTCAAACAGATGTCACTATGGTGGAGTGTAATAATTTCCATTCTTTTGTTGTTCTAAGTAACTTTTGATCACTGACTTTCTCTCTTTCTCCTTGTTCTGTCATCCATGAAATCAAACTTGCAAATGATTTAAAAAGCAGAAATCTTCCTTGCATATGACAACATAAATAACTACACAGATAAAAACCGTAGATGACTCATGCAGAAAATACAAGAGTCAAATAATGTTTCTGACTTTATTATGTTCACCCATGATGTCACAGACAAGGTGGGGGTGGTGATGGAGGTGGTTTCGGTATGTCAGGAATGACTGAACCATCCCACCAATAATGCATTTTTGTCTTGTAACAGAAAACAGCTGAGTGGCAGTCTGGCAAAATGGCATATGATATGAAAGTAAATACAAAACAAAGTTGTGTCATTGACTTTTTACATGTAGAAAAAAATTGCACTGATTTCATGGACAATAAATGTTTATGGAGACCAAAGAGCGGTTATGAGCGCAGTTTCATTAAAAAGTAGGTTGCCTCTGTCGACATATATTTTCATGAGTATAGCATGCAGGCTTTTGTGCATCACTGGCAAATATAGCCAATGGTGTTGACTATCTTGAATAATAGTGCTTTTTTATTTTGTTAGCTGAAAATTTGTTCTATTTGATGTTGCAATTGTAGTTCCTGTATTTGTTGTAGTATTTGTAAAAATAAGTAGGAGGCATTACTTTTGGAGTAAAACAATTACTTAATTACCAGCATCATTTGTTGATGGTCGTGGTTAATGAGTTCAATTATATTTCACAGTTTTCTTTCCGTTTCTGACATTCTGGACTTTCAGCTTTTATCAAAATTTTGTATATCAGAAGGTATTAAACTTTAACATACTGAAGATAATTTTGTTTGCAAAGCAAAAATTTTATCCTGCCGTTACACGAAAGAAAAGAAATGACCGAACAATTTACCAATTATAATAACAAGTGCCAAACCAACGAAACATACAAATAACAAAAGAGGAAATACGAACCTGCATCTTCAGACTTTCTTTTGTTTGGGGTGATCACAGGAGCTTCTGCTTTATCGGAAGTCTGGCTCGCCTGGCTTGTGCTATGCTGTTGTTCCTGTTGATTAGAGTTTTCTGTCTGCTCTTGAACATGTACAGCATTAGCCTCTTCTGACGAATCAGTATTAACATTGTTTTGTGGTTGTTGTTCATGCTGCTGTTGTTGTTGGTAGTACTGATAATAGTAATAGTAGTAGTAGTAGGATGAGGGATCACTTTCTGCAAGAGACGTCACATCTTTAGTCTCTTTACTATCACCGTCTTTATTGTCAGTATTTTGCTGCTGCTGTTGCTCATAGTATTTCTTACAATATTCAAAGTATTCTTGCCATTGCTTCTCATTCTCAGCACTGTCAACAGCTTGTGAGTCACTTGACACAGCCTGCTTCTCCGAGTCTTCATTAGTGGTTACGCCATAATTCATTTGATACTGTGCTATAAAGTCAGCATCAATCTATTTGTGAATTAAAGGGGAAAATGAGAAAGTAAAAAAAAAAAAAAAAACAATTTATGATTATTTATTACACTATTAATTTCTAACAGAAATACCCATGAAAATTTCATGTTTTTCCTATCGAAATTATTTCAGGATCCATAATTCTTAATTTAATGATTGAATAAGCTCTCCTTATGTGATCCATGACTATGAAATATCCACAGAAATTCCCTTATTGCATCATTTAATATCGGAGTTTAAAAACCTTAACAAAATATTGTAATAACACTCATATGTGTAGTGTGTTTTAAAAACCAAAGTTTAAATTTAAATTTAAAGCCAAGTTCAAATTCCAGTTGGGGTTGTTACATTCAGCTAGGCACAAATACCCTTTGGAAAGTATGAAATCATTTGTTCTCCCCACAGCTATAGGTTGAACAACAGGACAGACTATGGTATTGACACTTTATGAATTTAAACAGAAGACTAGATTGGCAATAACGTCTCATCATTTGACAGTTGAATTGGCAAGATGTAACCAAGTTCTTTGCCAATAGTTTTTTTTTTCCTTGCCTGTGGAACTCTCTTCTAGCTTCTTAATTTTCAATTTAAATACAATGTCAATTGTTATCTATGGTTTTCTTGATTCCTCTTCTTTTATTGTTCTCACTCAATAATGTTTTTCTTATTCTTTCATACTCAGCAACCTTTTGTGTCTTAGTGGCTTTATTGCCTTGCATGGGGTAAAATGATAAAGAAGGCATCATTTGAACCTGACCAGGATATGGTTTTAATGTTATGTCCCTTCAGGACAAAGGCAATCATGGCTCTCCACAGATTCCATTTTTTTTCTTTTTTTTTTTTTTTTTATTTATTACCAGTGAATTTACTTTTTTTTTTTTAAATAAATGAAGTGGAGTGATTTCCCATTGCTTTTTCCTTGATTTGGAAATCAGATTTTTTTTTTTTTACTAAGATTGGTTACTACCAAAGACTAGATATCCCAGTTTTGCTCTGCTATTTAACCCATAGCTGAAGGATGAAGAGATGGATTCCTGCCTTTCTTAAAGAATACTTGGGACTTGGCTGGAACTTTCTATTGTTTTTCCTTATTAAAATATTACGTAATTAAATCAGTTCATTCTTTTTGAATAAGCCTGTATTACTATATGCTATTACAATGCAAACTATTATGTTTGAATCGGACTTTATTCTACAACATACATCATCAAATATGTTTCTATCGCCATTAATACAGGCGGTATTTGAAATCTGTTAATGTTATATATTTGGATGGGAGAGGGTTAAACAAATTTTTGAATTAAAAGTGAATACAAGAAACTAGGGCAGAATTTAAACTCAGCTTGCCAATTCCACTTTGTGCACTAATAACTGTTACATTACCCAAAAGAGCTCAATCACAACTGTATAATAATATTACAAAACATACAAAGGTGAGATCTAGAAGTCATGAGATACATTTATCTTACCTTAGGCACATAAGCCTTTTGTTTGTGATCCCATTCGTACACTGTACCATCTTTGTCTGTATAGGTGTCTCCTGTGCGTTCTTCCTTGAGGTTAGCTTGTTTTTCTAATTCTTGTTGTCGTAATTGCTCTTCAAAATCAATGTCCCCCATCTGTGTCCAATTCAGCTAAAGTAAATTGGATGTCTCTAATCAAATAATATTAAAAGATAAAAAAAAAATATATAACATTAGATATACAGCATGTCTCCCCCCACACCTCAAAAATCGAGATAATTTTGTAGTCTAATAACATAGCCAATTCTCACTCAAATGATCTCAAATTTTAACAAAATGTATAAAAACTAAGTTGACTGTCTGGACTTATCTCAGTGAGAATCTACCAGGAAGATGGATCGGACCTGCCAGTGATAATGATAATGTGCTGTTGAAATGGCCACTATGTTCCCCTGACTTGACACCTTGTGATTTTTTTCTATGGGGCTATGTGAAAGGACAGGTCTATATCCCCTTCTTCTTACAAGCTTAGAGGAACTTAAACAGAGAATCACTGAGGCATTGGAGGATGTTACACAAGACATGCTCCTGCCAAACATGCAGTAGCATGTTTGGCAGGAGCTGGACTACCAACTTGACATGTATGGTGTGCATACTGAGTGAGCTTTGAGAAATCAATTATAAAATCTACATCCCTTTGAATATCTTGTTCAAATTTTGATAAATAAATCTTTTATCGTCCAGTATGAAGCCTATTTTTTTTTTTTTTTTTTGCCTGGGACATCTAGTTACTCAGATATTCACATTTTAAATGATGTCAGTTTTTTTTTTGTGGGGTAGGGGGCACTGTACATTTACAATTTATGTTCGATACATTTTTTCTTAGTTAATATAAATTAACTGGGAAATAAAGTTTTCATTCTAGGCATTTTTTTGTTCCACTCAAAATGAGCCAGTTATTTATATCAGTGCTTATCAAATTATCTGATGTGGTTAACCCACATTTTTTTTTACAATGTGTTAAGGGACCAGCAAGCAAAGCTTTCCAATCCAGCTGAGGGGTTTGGGGGATAGGGGTTTTCGAGAGTGGTACACACTGGCCCTGCTATATTCTTCTTCATTAAAACAATTTATTTTTGGATGGATATAACGTAAACTGGTGGCTGAGAATGTGGCAATACAAGGTGCTGCTATTTCTGCCTCTACACACTCTAGCCATGCATGCAGTTGTGTTGTAACAGACATACAGTGAAATCTGAAAATCTGCTACAATATGAATCTAAGCAATTAAGTGCGAATTTTAAACACATTGGCCCAAACCTACATGGCTTATCCCCCCCACACATACACAGGCAAATTTTTTAAAGGCCAAATTAGAAATATATATCCATGAAAATGGGCGTTTGGTATTCCTAGGTGTGGTTCCTACACGGTCACATGCCACATCATCATAATGGTGTTGTCATACGTATTTCAGTTCATTGTTTTATTCATTATATCACATTCGTTAGTTGTATAGCAATGGCTTTTAATGCGAATGAGTTATTGAAAAGTGTAACCATAATAAAGATAAAACCAAAATGAAAATGCTAAAGAAAAAAAAAATTAATAATAATGACTTAGATAAACTAGTCTCCCATGTAATGGAATGTGACTACAGTTTCTTTGTTTCCTGTATATTCTCCACATACTGGTAGACGAAGGCTTGCGTACTAGCACCAGTACACATACCATAAGTAACACTGATGTATATAATAAAAAGCTGATTTTGTTGCTTACAAACTCTAAATAGCCGAAAATGTGTATTTTAGTCAGAGGAATTAAGGTATCCCAAATGCACTCAAAGAATGGAAAAATAATCCAGGTAATATGCAAATGAATAATTACTATGGGGGTCTGTGTTAATGATGAACTGAGGAAAAAAAAAAAGAAATGAAAAAAAAAAAAAAAAAAAGATTTTTCAAGGGAAGTAACTATTGCATGCAGATTACAGAGTACTATCCCTTATTCATGTGTACACAGATGAGAAAATCTGGGAGAATGTTTTTTTTTTTTTTTTTCCAAGTTAAATCTAATTCTAACATGTGGATATCCAATCAGAAATGAAGTTGAAATATTTTTAGTAAAAGACTTTAATATGTTTTATAACAAAATTTCACGGTGGGCTCACAGAATAAAGCCAAGTGAACATTTTTGGTTTGGAGCACCCTAAAAGACTGTTCAGCTAATTTATGAAACTATATAAATGTTATTTGTACTTAAGAGGAAGGTTAGAATAAAACTTGCACATTTCTAATTAAAAGATAAACATTTAGTTCTAGAAACCCTGGACTGTAGTAAAGAACCAAAATTCCTGAAAAGAGAATAAATTTTGCATTTCACTCTTTTAGACATTATTTTTTTTGTTGGGGTGATTTTCAGATTGAAAAATTGATTCAGTTACCTCAAAATACATAGGAATTAAAGGTCTAGCTCAGTGGTTTTCAACCGGGGTCCAATTTAAAATGGTTTATTATGTGTTATTTTACTAGTGTACATAAATGTTCCATGGAATTTAGTCGTTAAATAGAAGTTTATTTTCATTATATTAGTTTTACTTCAAAATAAAATGTATACATTTACTAGTTATATAATTCCTAAACTTATCTATTAGTAAAAAATAAAATAAGTTTATTTTGTTTTTTTTACAAAAAAAATTAAGTGTAAAAGTGGTCGATAGATAAAAAATGGTTGCAAACCACTGGTCTAGATCTTAATTTTCTGATAAAATGAAAAGAAAGGTATGTCGAAAACTAGTATTTGTTTCTTAGTATATGGTATCAAAAGTGAGTAATAATCAATTATTACCATGCATGAAAAGAAACTTCCTGAGAAAAATTTTAACTGTTCATATTTGGAAACTTAAACTTGAAAAAAAAAAAAAAAAAAAAAAGGAAGAGAGAAAGAAAATATTTGTCCTGACATTTTTAGCATTTATTCAAAGTTGAGTGGGATCAGGGACACAAAAAAAAAAAATAAATAAATGAATAAAACAGGCATAATACGATAAAACATATCAATTTGGCTGAACTTTGTGTTGTAGGACTTCAAAATGTACTTGATATAGGTCATTTTTTAAAAAGTGTCAAATAAAACTTGTAAAATTTATGGCTGCAAGATTCCAATGACTTTTATAGTAGAAAAAGCAACTATTCATAACTGATCATTTAAAAATAAATTATTAACCCTCTTAGCATTCAACACACTCAAATTCGCCCTGTAAATATCAAAGCCCCAGTGTCTGCATGAATTGTTGCATGACTTGCGATAATGTTGGCACATATTGTGGCATAGTATACATGGGGCAGATTACATTAGGCTGAACATTGAGAACCAATATTTACAGAGTAGGTTTGAATGTTAAAGGATTAAATATGTGCAAGTTTCAATTAAACAATCATGACATGACAAATATTTGGTGTTAGGACAAAGTTAGACTAGTTCTAAAATCCTGAAACTGTCTTCTTTCAAACCAGATATACCATAAGACTTGAGAAATATTCCAAAAATACTAAATGTCTGCTTACATGCCCACTGAGGTTGAGTCATGAATAATTTCTGTTTTTTTTGCCAACTTCATTAAAAAGAAATAATGCACAATTACATTTTATTCAGTTATATATTCACAATTATTTGCAATGACTTGTTGCAATCAGGCAGCTCTTCGATAACTTTTGAGTAAAACTTCACAAGTTTTGATGAGAAAAAGTTTTTGATAAACATTTTAATTTGGCTTACATTAAAGAAAGTTTTTCTCCATCAAAGCATTTCACAGCAAACCAAAAATGTAGTAATTGGTTGGTGCACAGTCAGATGAATATGGTGGGTAGGGAACAACAGTTTCACTTCCCAAATTTTTTTTGCCATGTGTTATTCTTGCTGTAAGCAGCCATATATTGTCATGGTGAGGAGCATCTTTCCTACTGATGAGTGCAGAGTGCTTTCCAACCAAACATTTATAGACATGTTACAACTGCTGGATGTACAAATGTGCATTTATTGTTTCATTGCATTTAAAGAATGCTGAATCAATAATACAGTAATAATCCTACCATTAGCTTTATTCCATGGAGCTTAGCTCTTGGCATCAGTTCTGGAGAGTTATCCTTGTCCATCCACTACATTTTGCATTGAACATTATTATCTCCAAAAAAATTCCTTCGGTCTAAAAATATTTTCTAGTTTTAAATAACCTGCAAAAAGCTGATAAGTCATAAAAGCAAGTCAATCTGTTACTTGTAACATTCATTTTCCACACAATGCCAATGACTTTCCTGCATGGTCAGGCGAATATGGTGGTAAAATTAAATAAATTATTAAATTGATTTGCAAAATTGAACAAAACGTAGAGTTTGTAAATCTCAATAAAATATGTTACCAATAACTTCAACAATTTTAAATACTATGAGGATTTTAACATATGTCAATGTATTGCAAAAAAAAAAAATCTAGTTGATTAGAAACTAGACATAAAAATCAACAGAAAAAAACCAGTAGGTTCTATCATGAAATACTGCAACAAAATGAACGGTAAGCTTCAACACTGTTGGTCCAAATCTGTTTGGAATGACTGCTAAAAACCTTTCCTTTCCAAATCCTACAGAATGTTGGTTCACTGTGTCGTGCCAGAAAAAATTTTCATGTCAGATTTCACATTTACAAATCTACTATTCATCCATTCATTGAATACTATAGTTATATCTGGTCTGGTGCTCCTGTGGTACATCTCAAGATTCTTGACAAATTTCAAAGAAGGGTCTGTAATGTAGCTGATGCTGATCAGACATTTCAAATTCAGTTACTTTCTTGCATGACATGGCTTCCATCTGCCTATTCTGCAAATATTTTGATGGCAACTGTTCTAATGAGCTTCCCCTGCACCATCCGGCGCCCTGTCGCCATGAATTTAAGCATGCTACTAGATTGGCAACTAGGTCTCACCATTTTACTGTTGAACTAGTTAGATGCAAATGCCACTTCTACTCTAACAGTTCCTTTTTTCACACTTCTCAACTGTGGAATTCCCTTCTGATTTCTTGCTTCCCTGATAACTACAATCTTTAGAAATGTAAATGCAATGTCAATCACCATCTTCTGTCTTCTTTAACCCTGTTTCC